ATTAAATGTGTTTGCTTATCATATATGTATTTATTATCCGTTTATCATATTTATGGCTTCGTTAAGCCTACGCGGATATAAAGATGCGGCCGGAAGTACCCTCTTAGCTGCTTTGATCTCTATACACACTCGTGTGTATGTTTATGTGTCGCTGTCGGCGCTTTTGTGGTTAATCGCGGTTATACGAAGGTCCTAAATTATGGCAAAACTGATATAAAAGGCGAATTGCGCCAGCTCGATAAGCACTTCGTTAATTTTCCAGTGGATGAGGGAAAAATAAAAAGCCATAGCTGGCGATATGCTTCGAAAACAGAAAAATTTGGTCTTCGCAATTTTGAGTTATGTCCGCGAAAGACTTGGGGTTCTTATTTAAAACACCATGCTTCTTTATTATTTGAAGATGAAAATATAATTTTTAAACTATCCAATATAGGGGATAATTTTAGTATTCACCGCAAAGAAGTGAACTGTCTACTAACCACACTAAGGACTATCGAAACATAACGAATACGAACACTACAGCGATGGTAGTGCTTTCATTATCGCCTGTCAAGCTTTGTCACATAATGCAATATCTGCCCCCTTCATCTAACTTTCTGAACTTGATCACATTGAAGAGGTCTCCCTCAATTTAACGCCAGTCAAGTGAACTATCTGCATAATTACAGCTCCTCAAGTGCAATTTAGCTTAAATAGAGTGATAAAGCTGCATGTAACTATCAAAATTTGAAACTAATGGTGCTCAACCAAAGCTCTTCAAATACGCACGTATGTGTTTTTATGTATAAATCCTTTCAAATGTGACAACGAGCAACAACAAAGCAAACACTATGTTGACTAAAAACATCTCAAACTTGCGCATCACTTTTTCACAACTGTAGCCGAGATAAGAATTATTTGCTTGCCACACACACATATATTCAAGGCACGTACCACCCACCGCCCATTCAGTGCTTGTCAGTCAGAAATCACGTAGCTCCTAACATCTAATCGTTCGTTTTGCGTTTTTAATCTTTCACCACTTGGACACACAGCTGCTTGGAAGATCGAGAGATATCCGGACACCCGCCGGCTTTAGCTCTCCACCCGCTTTTGTTAAGGCACGCCTGGTATCCCTCGCCGCTTTGCTGTGACCCCCCACTTTATGAGATTCCGTCAAAGTGTCAGCCAAGTAAGTAACAAAAAAATATACTCCAACCGCCAAGTAACTTACCGCTTCAGTAGCTGGAATGTTGCAGGGACACAAATGCCAAGCAGAAGAGTAATAAACTTTGTCAAGCTGTTATTATTGCCAGTGTTGTTGTGGTTGTTGTTGTGGTTTTTGTTGTTGTTGTTGTTGTTGTTGATGATGGTGATGGTGACGGGCAACAGACAATAATGCCAGCCACTATGTCAATATTCGCTCACACTCAAAAATAGCGGACTGCAGTGAGTGGCTCTTCACAATTTACTGGTTTGACGACAATATTGCATTCGTTATGTCTGGGTGGTTTGTTCCTTACTTCATATGTTGTTGCTCTTTTTGCTGTTACTGCAAGCGATAATCGCGCTACTTGAAAGCACCGCCCGTTGTTGCTATTGTTGTAGGAACGTATTATTTTATTAGTGTTGTTTGAAGCGCAAATTGTCTCGCTGCCTTTATCACGTGCGCACACGAAAGTAGCTGTTTATGTGTAGGTGCAAAAACGCATACCTACTAATGGGTGTGTGTGTGGGCGCTGTACTTGAAAAAACACTAACATCCTTTAGTTCCTTGCAATTTTTACACCACATACACTTGACTCTGGTCCCCTGCCTTATCTCCTCTTGCTTCCTACATGCATACATATGTATGCATGCTCATACAAGTACAGACGGATGTGCATGCATTTGTATGTGTGTATGCGATGATATCTCGCCGCGCACCCAACTTTTCGCACTGATTGCTGCGATAAAAATGAAAACTTTTGTAATGTTCTTGCTTATTGTCATGACGTTGTTTAGTTATGGCTTTTTTGTTGGTGTTGTTGCTCAATATATGTCTGCATTGTCATTGGCACTTGGACTATAATGCTGTCATTGTCGTTATTACCACTGGCGGTATAGTCTCGCCAGCATTGCTCTCGTTTACGACTGTTCTCTGCTCGGTGTGATCTTGATTGATTCCATCGTTGATGGCTCTGTTGTTGACGCTGGCTTGGCACCCCTCTGTTATGGAGAATATGTTTACAATACGAGCGAATCATTGGTTCTCTATTTTTAAAATGCTAGTAAATAACCAGAGAGGTCTAAGGAACCATGGAAAACCACTATTGTGTGAAGAAACAAATTGAGAACCTCTTTCAAATGTATCGTATTCGGTTGGTTATCATATCTTCGGAAAATTGTCCACTTTTGTTTCGGATTCTTGCAAAATTTGCGGTCAAAATCGAAGTTTGGATTATACCCAATCTGGCGGTCAATTCTAGAGAGTAAACATTGGAGATGACAATATTTAACACTGGACTAGGAAATAGTCTTTTATTACGTTACAGACCGCGAATTTCGAATTGTTTCGTATCAAACCCGTCTCTCTTTACTCTACCTCTCTGCTTACGTCCCTCTTATTGGGCTCTTATTACTGCATAACCGTACTACGACTACAGTTACTGCCTCCGCGCTTAGTTTATGTCAATAGTATAGTTTTTATGCATTTTTTAATGTTCTCTCAAGCACACGGACGGGCGGTGTTCTCCACCCACACTCGTCATCTGCTGGCGGCACTGGCGAAGAAACTAGTGGGTTTCGTGAAGTGTGGCTGCTTTGATGTGCAGACGCTCGACAGTTTGAAGTAGCTTGGAATGTCTGATGCCTGACATGTCTGAGTGGTCTGTATGATGTGAAGTTATGGAGAAAGGAGATGCACTTCGTCTGTGTTTACTTTCAAATGACAAGTTAAGCAGGCTGTAACTTAGGCGAAGTATTATTAAGCAATATCAACAAAACTTAATGCGCTATCTAATGTTATATGCGATTTATAGTTTAATTAACATAACACACATTTTATTCTGGTAGCACAAAAGTAAACTTAATAGATTCAAGTCAAGAAAAAGCAGAAATTACTTTACTTACAGGCTAAGTATTTTAGTAACTATTGACGAAGAAATTAACAAAATAAATGTCTGCTGCTTACCAAAGTTGCGTTGATATAAATAATAATATTTGTTTTCAGTAACATACATATATCAAAGAAGGTATTTAGAAAACACAGACGTCACGTATTAGATGTTTCTAGATTTGTTGGCCTTAGAGAAATAGTTGAAACATTAAAATTGAGAACCTAACTGGTAACTCTTGCAGAATAGGTATGCCTGAAGATTGGACCGTGTTACAAATTATATTGCGATTTACGTTGAATTGATCTCTATGGAGGCTCAGAATGAGTATGTAATATAACAAGACCCGGATATAGGGCCAATGGCTCACATTGCTCTGCCTGCGTAAATAGTATAAACATATGTATGTACTTATATACCAGACATATTCGTGCATTTTCTACAAGCGGGCAAACAAAAAGAAGGTGGCAACCTTCGAATGATCAGCCTAATGTACTGCACAACATTAATATGAGTTAACCCATTTACACACACACATACAATCCATTTACCATACGTGCACCAAATAGAGTCTGGGCATGTGTATGTAAATTTGTGCAATGATCACTGCATGCACCCAATCAGCTAGTAAACTCACCTGTCTAATGCACGTGCTGATGGATAGTGGGTACTTACGGTATCTGGTACTAGGGTCGCATTCGACGTGTGTGTGCGTGTGTGAGTGCTTTGTTGCATTTGATGGTGTGGTGCTTGTGGGCTCTGCGGGGCCAAGAGAAGTGGTGAGCGCAGAGAGTGCGCTCAATCTGACCACAAGAAAATCAATTTACCACTTTTGCAGCATTAATGTTGCATATTTAATTAGAAGTTGAGAAGCGTGCTAGGAGCGCATCTAGTTGCTCGCATGTACGATATGTAGTTGTTGTATTTACATATGATGAAACTGATGTGGTTTCCAAATGACGGAGTCTTGTATAAAGCGGTACAAATCAATTTGGGCAGAGAAAGTAAGGCGAAGGAAGGGGTTGCCACAAAATCTTAGATGCCGCATGCTCGTATATGCTCATGTGTATATATACTTATATATGCATGTACATTTATAAGGGCATGTGCGGGGTGAGCGTAAATTAAGGTGTTGGGGCTGACATGTGTTGTATTGACATCGCTGAAGGCAGCTCCCTTTTCCAATCAAACCAAACCCGACCACAACAAAGCAAACTAAATAATTGAGCAGCTCGATGATTTTCATCAAACACATCCTGGCTTAACGGCGACTGCAGCAAACTGATGTTCCACATTTGCTGATTACATTGCTAATAAACGACTAAACGAAACTGCCCGCTGCTGGCAGGTGGGGTCCCATCCGCAACTGCAACCGAAATCTGAAACCGCCGACGTAAACACAAACTGAAATTCCTGGTTTGCTGCCATTACCTAGGTTTTCGAAGGTCGAAACCAAAGTAATTGCAGCAACTTGTGGCATACATAACTACACTGCAGAAAGGTCATCGGTTTTACATTGTTGGTATTGTTGTAGTGCTAAAAACAATTTGTAAAAGCGCCGCTATTTTTTGATATATCCAATAGTTTTGTTGCTTTCATTCCGAATATAGGAATTAACTTTGTTAGAATTTTAGAACCTTCTGTGAAATAGAATTTCAGCATTTACGTTCATAGTTTGTACTTGATAACCTAATAGGCAATTCTCTCTGGCTCGTAACCTGATTCAGCTTTCTTGCCGGCCTAGACATAAGTTCATGAGCTCCTCATCATCAAAGCATCAAACGAACGAGAAAATTTTCGTATATTTGGTCTTAAGTTCGGCATGCATATTGTCATACACATAAGTATAAAAGTATGTATTTAGATAACTTTTCTAATTTATTTTATTGTTGTCTACTTTAACATTTAATTTTCCTTTCTTTCTAGGTAAGTTTGCCTTTTGAAACATAATAAATCGCCTAACTTGAAGGTAAAGAGGTGAAGTCAAAAATGGAGCACCCACTGTACTTGACAGTGCGGTAAACATCGCCTTATTTGTACGGTAAATATTTGTTTAATTTTTTTTCCATGCAAAATATATGCACTGAAACAATTTGGCAGGCAAACAAGTGAATTATTAAAAGCAAAGCGAACACAATAATAAATAAATCGTTTATTCGCAATTTTCATTTCATTCTCCTATGCAAATTTTGATTGTTTTTTGTTTTTTTACTATAAATGGAAACGATAAAAAAGAATTTCTATTGTTATGTCGGCCCAAAAATACACTGAGAAGAAGATATTAAAAAATCATTTGTTTTTGCTAAAAATAACTAAAAGTGATGTTAGGTAAACGTTAGTATGGGTTTATAAAATTAAAATGATGCTAAATTGCTTTAAAATTGACTAACATCAAGGGACTCTGGAGTTATTATGTTGTTCCTACAACGTTGTTTCCGGCAGCTAGAGAAGATTTTTTAACAATTATAAATCTATGTATTTCTACATCTGCGCACTGAGTCGCTGTAGAGATGCTAATGCGCAGTCGCTGATGTGTGTGGTAACAAGTATTTATAAACATAAAAGCGCATAAAGTAGTTGTCTCCTTTACGGTCTTTGAACGCAATACCATTAATTTTGCTAATGAAGTATGCCGCACATAAGCTAATATAAGTTTTCCTATGAAGCTTTACATTTTACTTAAATTAATGTACCACAGTGGACCTTGAGTATTCTAATAATTCATATTACATTATTAAAGTCGACGAAGCTTGCAGCAAAAGCCAGCGCTGATATTAGCTCAAAATTTCAAAATCACAAAGCCGTTTTGGAATTTTCGTTCCACTTTTTATGCAGGTTTTATAAATGTGTACTCAATACATATATGGATGTATATACTTTCACATTTTTAAGAGCTGAATGTTAGATGATATTTAATATATTATTATAAATATTAAATTATTTCTTACACTGTAGTTCTAAGGAAGTATCTCTCTTTTTTTCAAGTTTGGATTATACTAAATAACTCCATATTTCATTTATGGGAAATTAGGAACTTTTCCTCATAAGGGGCTATACCAGTGTGATGCTTGAAAAATTAGGCGATTTTCGTGAATTTTTTTAAGAGAAAGTACGTGATTGAATATTTCGAACTTCTTTGAACGTAATAAAGTATATTTTCAGATATATTTCGAAATTAAAAAAAAAAGATTTTTTAACAAAAATGTTGAAAAATAACGGAGTTATGGGTTTAAACAAAAAAATTCAAAAAGCTTAATAAACTTAAAGATGTTTCCTATTCAATGATCCTAAGATCTATGAAAAATATCAAAAATTAACAAAATGGCGTAATTTAAAAAAAAATCTTTTTTTAGGAAAAAATTGTCGTTTTTTTAATGCCAAATTGACAATTTTCAACCAATCAAAAAGATCGTATGTCATTGTATGGTAAATGTATTCAAAAATACTCGGTTTTAATTTAAGCAATTTTGAAAAATTTTGGTTCGAGAAAAACGCGTTATGTTTGCACCTCCGAGCGATTGCTGTTTAGAACGCTGCCATAACTAAGATACGACCTTCCCGATTTCACAGGATATTTTTGGAAATATAAGCTTTTGAGAAAGCAAATTAAAAAATTTTTTTTTAAGTATCACACTGGTATAGCCCCTTAAAGTCCATTAACAGGTATTTTTTCTGATTCAGTCATTTTAGAGGCGCTCTACGATTAATTGCGCTTGCCTGGCAATATTCGCCTTTCACACGTGTATACTTATGCATACGAAAACATAGCGAAAACATTCGACATTCAACTCGTTTTGTAAATTGGACCAATGTTTACCTAAAATTGATAGGATACAAGTGGAGCTCACACACAAAACAACGCGCCAGCACATTCATACAAACTTTTATAAGTACGCAGCACATTTTTGAGTGCATACATACATACATATACATGTACATGTAAATACGGCAAAAACGCTCTTGTTGATACTCACTCTCCGCGCTACTGTATCGAATTTGTTGGAGCCGATTGATCGTCTAGGCTCACTTGTTTTCGCTATTCTTGTTGTTTAGTTTTTGCCTATGCATTCATATATGTATGTACATATGTATATGTTTTTAGTTTTTGTTGTTCATGCTTTGTTTTTGTATTGTCATTAGCGCTAAATGTCAGCATCGTTATCATACACACATTCACACCAACAATTGTTTTGTGTTGTTGCACTTGTTGTTGGTACTATCAACGGCGCACATGCTTAGGTATGCAATTTGATTTGAATTATTCATGACTCCACCATTCCGACGGCGATGCAATGCGAAAAAATAATAAAAGTTAAGCAAAAACAAAGTGACACAAAGTGTCGAGAATAAAACCGGAGCGAAAGGGCGAAATGATGAGAGTGAGGAGGGCGTGCCGGCTGCACAAGCTTCTCATTATTGCTGCTACTGGTGCTGATCTGCGCCACAGCATTGCAGTAGAAGCATAACTAAGTAGCACGGCAATGCATGAACGGCGCTCACTGACACTGTAGATCGTCCGGTGCTCAGTTGATTTGCAAGATTTGATATTATCTTGTAATGTTTCGCTCACCCAACCTTATTCTTATTAATATTAGTTGTTGTCGTTCTTAGTTGTGCTAACACAATATTGCTACATTTAACCAATCATTTGTTGTTGTTGTAATTATCATTATGATATTGTTTCTTAATCTCTCCATGTTGTATTCATATTGTTGTTGTCGCTTTAATTATATGATTTATCCTTATCTGCGCCAATTTACTTGACACCCCACCACCGCTGCGAACGGTAGCACAATTCGCATGAGGAATTCGTTATTCATGGGGAAGGAGACAAAGAGCAGCGTGTGCGTCTCGCCGCATAAAGTATTGTAATAAAATTAATTGCCTGTCAGTAATATCATTTGAAGGTTAGTTGAGCGCACAAACCATATTGTATATTACTTTTCCGTGTAAATTCTCTACAACATACATATTCGCAAAAAATGGCTCAGTCGGTATGACAATAATGTTTTACAGCTATTATTCTGTTTGTTCCTATTTATTCAACTTTTTATATTTATGTCAATTCGTGCATTTTTTCCACATACATATGTAATTTCACATGTATATTTTTCATATTCATTGATATTTCTTTTGATTTCATGAATTTCCTATATAACTGTAGACTACTGCTGAGTTAAGCTTTAGTTACATGATCTGAAATGTTCATACGTACGTACTTTTTTCAAGCAAATTCAACTAAATTCAAGGGATGCAAAGCTTTTACTTTTTTTATTTTCCGGGAACACTTTCGGATATACATACATATGTATCTAGGTGAAAGCTTATTACTGAATGTATGATTTTCAAGCCATAATTGATTTTTTGTCTTAAAGAGCACTAAAGGCTCACCCAGAAAACACGAAAATCCTTTTACGTTGCTCATCAATGCAAAGTGTTCGGTCTTGTATGGAATCAGCCGCCAGAAATACTCCCACTGTCTACATAAAAGTGAAACTTTTTCCAAAGGTTTTTAAAATCTCCCATTCCCGTTTCCCACTCCGCCACCCTCCGATGGTAAAAAAGTTTAATTAATTATATTAAATTAAAAAAGTTGATAAATGAAAACAGGAATTTTTTGAATTTATTTAACTACATCAAGAACTGATTTTAGTAAAATTAATTGACTTTTGCAGCTTCATACTGAGAAATTAACTCTGTTCGTCAGAATTTTTCGCTTTCCCTAAATGTTGTACTTAGCTTTGCATGTTGTTTGTTTTGTTGTTGCACAGGCCTGGTATTTTAATGCTGATACACGTTCGAGCATACAATGAAAGCAGCAACAAGTCAACAAACTGTGTTGTTGTTGTTGCAGCAGGTCATTTGCCCTAAAAATTCATTGAACTGCGTAACTGATGCGCGTGTGCCCCCTCAACTCACATGTACCCACCCCATCATCCTCCAGCGTGTTGCGAGCGGTGGAGACCTCGATGGGGTTTTCCCCAATTCCCATGCAATCGCCGTATGTATGTATATATGTATGTACGTTCGTCAGCGCGATTCATTAATGTCACAACACAAGTTGCAACAACAACAACAATAATAATAACGATACTTGTAAGAGACCTCAAACGCCGCAGCTGCGCAGCTGTTGCCGACAGCATCTGCTGACTGCCTACTGGCGTCTGAAGCCGAAACGTCACAGCTGATGATGGAGATGAAGGCGCTGCGAATAAATGAAGGGGGGAGCATCATAGTCATCCGCTCAAGTAACAAGCAATGGATTGAGTAACAATAACAACAAATACTCGTAGTAAGGAGTAGCAGCAGTGCTCGGAGTACACAGATACATGCACACTCACAACATACATACATATGTACAGCTATACCAGCTTCTGCGTGCGTTCATTGAACATGTTGCTGACGACAGCTTCCGAATGAAATTGTTTGTTGTTGTTGGTTTAGGCATAGTACTGTGCAATTGTTTGAAATTGCATTTTTAAACGGCACCTCAGATGTCGGTAAGCGGCTGGGAGATTGGCTGCCGCCGCCAACTGCGATTGCCGCAGCAAGATCATGTATGCTGCAAGTGTAAATGTGCAAGCATACACTGGTGCACTACATGTGGATGAGCAAGGCTTTTAATTGGGTAGCTGGAAGTGTTGTCGCTGTTTCAAAATACCAAGCAACTGAGGTATGCTTGGGCACAGTTGTATCGTATTTTGCTCCTTATATACCTACTTATGTATACATCTATATTTCCTTTCGAAGTAGAATATACTAAACTAGGATATAAGAGGATTAGGAGTTCACCGATGGAACAGATAATTATTTTCGGCTTGTACCACTTAAAAAAAATTAAAGATCGTTGAAACTTAGACGTTATTAGAACTTCATTAATAAATACGGAAAAAATAGTGTTCACTTTAGTTATTAAGCATTGTGAAGACTGCCGCATATACTGCCATTGTCTTCATTTTGTGGACAAGTTTCGAGGGTACACGGTTTCTAATGCGGAATATTTTACACTAAACACTTATCTAGAAATAAAAATGTCTTAAA